TAGGAGCCTGCTTCAAGCCATATATACATCTTATGTGAGATCACCATAAAGAAATGATTTATTTATATCTAACTAATTGATATAAGGGCCAAGAATTTTGCATAGACAATGAAATAACAATACGCACAATGACAATTTTTGCAACAGGAGAAAAAGTTTCTTCAAAATCTATTCCCTTTCTTTGATTATATCCTTTAGCAACTAAACGTGCCTTATATCTCTCTCTACTTCTCCATTTAATTTATACTTAATTCTGAACACCCATTTACATCCAATCGTTTTTCTGTTTTTTGGTAAATTTGTTATTTCCCAAGTATGATTACGATGAAGAGCTTCCATTTCTTCATTCATTGCCTTAACCCAGTTTTGGTCAGACAAAGCTTCTTGGTAATCTTTGATTTCAATAGTTTTAGTAAGATTAGAAATAAAACATTTAGTTTCAGTATTAAGACAAGAATATTTAAAAGATCTCTCAATACCATATTTGTATTTTTCTTCAACAACATAGTCAACAAACTTAACTGGCATATGTGACTCACTTCTAGTACTAGAAGTGCCCAAAGACTGCTCTATAGAAGGAGTTAAGATAGAGTGACTACTTTCCTCAGACACATTTGAGGAAGAAGGAACAGAAGTACCAGTAGGAGGCACAGGTACCTCGCCACTTAGGTTGATAATCTCACTAAAACTGACATCATCCAGATTAATGGTTGCATAAACACCATCCAACTGGGATCTACTCTCAACTCATCAAGATTAATAGGATCATTAACATATTCATTTGTGTCAAAAACATCATAGGAAAAGGATCACTAGGGCTAGAGTCATTTGAAATTTTATCAACAGTGGTTGACTTTAACTTGTAAGGAAACACAGACTCAAAAAATTTCACATCCCTGGATACAAAATAGGTGTTCGTATCCAAACTAAGAAGTTTATAAGCCTTTTTATTAAAAGAATATCCTAGTAAAATACATTTTTTAGCACGTTCGGACAGTTTATCAGTAACATTTTGTTTAATAGCAAAACATAAGCAGCCAAACACACTTAAATATTCAAAACTAGGATTTTTTTTTTTAAAACAAGTTTGTAAGGAGACAAGCCATTTAAGACAGAAGTAGGCATCCTATTTATTAAAAAAATAGAAGTCAAAATTGCATCTCCCCAATATTTAACAGGAACTCATGATTGAAATAAAAGAGATCGTGCTACATTAAGAATATGCCTATGATTCCCCTCCACAACCCCATTTTGTTGTGGAGTGTAAGCACAAGATTTTTGATGTATGATACCTCGTTCAAAACAAAAAAAAATCATTTTATTATTGACAAATTCAGTTCCATTTTCTGAACGTATAACTTTAATATTAGTGTTAAAATTATTTAAAAGAATATTAACAAAAGATTTAAAACAATCAAAAACCTCAATTTTAGACTTTAAAAGAAAAACCTAAGTGGTCATAGTAAAGTTATCCACAATAGTTAAAAAAATACTTAAAACCTTCAACAGATGCAAGTCTATAAGGTCCCCAAACATCTAAGTGAATCAATTCACCTAGTTTAGTTGAATTATGTTGACTATGTGGAAAGGATGCTCTTGTGTGTTTTGCTTTATGACAGGCATCACAAGGAGGAAGGGACTCATTTCCAAGTTTTAAATTTTCTTTTAAAGAACTTAGAGCTTCGTCAGCTGGATGACCAAGTCTATTATGCCAAGTCAGTTTAGAGACACAACATCTAGAATTAGTTATATTAGTTGAAATACCTGAGGGAACATAATCAAGAAAACACAATCCCCTAGATTATCTACCACTCTCCACCATCTTCTTTGATAGTGAATCCTGAATTTTCCAATTATGTTCAGAAAAAACTTCACAACCACTATCCTTACACAGTTTATGTACAGATAAAAGGTTAACATTGAAGTTTGGAATATCAAACACATCAAATAAGGTGAGATGTGAAGAAAACTAAAGATTTCCTATTTTGCGTATAGGAACTGAAGAACCATTTGGATGTTTTACAAGAAGGTTCATTCTAGACACATCCACTGCATCTCTAAGTTGTGACTGGAAGGCTATCATATGTTGATTTTCCCCTGAGTCCACAATGCTTTAAGAATTATTAGAACTAACAAAAGAATTACAACACTGAAACATAGATGTACCTGCCATATTTGGAGTAGCAGATACATCATCATTAATAGAACTCTCATTAATGAGACGAAGAAACTTGGAGTATTGTTCACTACTGAGATAGTGAGCATCACTGCCAAGAACAGACTCAGAAGAAGCTATGGCACTGCTGTTAGATCCAACAGAAGAAGTATTCACTAAAAATGACTTATTTTGATTATTAATTTCATTCCTAGGTTTAAAATCCTTTGGATATCCAATCAGTTTATAACACCTTTCTATTGTATGACCTTTAAGATTACAATGTTTTCATTGCAATCCCTGATTTCTAGATCTGTTTTGACCTTGTCCTCTTTTAAAATCATTAACTTTACTACAAAAAATAGAAACCTGTGGTTTTGAGGAGGTAGTGGAACTTAGAGAGCCATTCTTTTGAAGGGACTCTTCTCTAGAAAGAACAAAGAAGGAATTTTTAACATTTGGCAAGGGCTCCATCAAAAGAATAAGAGTATTGACTTGATTATAAACATCATCAAGACCAGTTAGAAATTGTATTAGCTTCATCAACTTAGAATGATCATTAAGCTTAGTAGCAGCCTCACAAACACATTCAGTTAAACTCGTTAAACCATCAAACTCTTTCCACAAGGAATCAAGTTTATTTTAAGAATCAGAAAGAGAAGAACCATTTTTTTTACAGTATTAATTTGTTGATGAATATTAAATATTAAAGACCCATCAGCCTTATTATAAGTTTCAAACAACTCATCCCAAATATCCTGAGCTTTATCAAAATATACATGACTAGCATATATAGTTTTAGAAATTGAACCTAAAATCCAATTGCAAACAACAGCATTAACACGCTCCCACTTAGAAGCTTTAGAAGATTCAATTTTTTCAAGAGTAAGAGTGTCATCCACAAAACCTAATTTATTCCTAGCCTTAACACCTCTAGATATAGCACTACGACACAAACGATAGCTCTTATATCCAGTAAGTCTAATCGTTATAATAGAAGTTACAACATTATCAGAAGGATGAACATATAAGGGATCATCAAAATCAACATGACTATCTTTAAGTACACCCTTCAGGTGTTTCACCAGTCATGATGAACAGATATAAAAGGAAATCAAACAAACAAGAATCCAGACAACTGTGTCAACTTAAAGTCCAGATGGTCACCACGGTATGTCGGGGCCTAAGACAATCAACACAATGTACAAAACAATTTTAACAAAAAATAATTGGTGTACACAAGACATCAGGATCTCCCAAGACTACAGCTAAAAAGAAAGAAAGGAACAAGAAACCCTCACAGTGCAGTTAACAGAGATGTTCAAGAATTGACTCCATGAATCCGTTATCTTTAAGAGTTTATTGGTGATGAAATCCGACCTCAAGAGAGTTATTTCAGATTAGATGGATTAATTAATTTGATCTTCAGATGATCAACAAAGGATTGTTAACAAAACACCATTGATAGCGAACAGTCTCAAAGATCTCCAAAAGCAACCAAGAAACTTGCAGTACCAAGATCTTAACAAAATAATGTTTCACTTTAGGGAAATTAAAGCGGAAACCCTAAAGAACAGAAACCCTAATCTTTCACAGTTGATATAACAATTGTGAAAAAACTCCAAGGATTAAAACGACAAATGAAAAGTACCTTCCAAACGATCGTCGTGGAATCAACGTCAAATGACTGGCGATATTCTAGGATCGATAACAAGAGCATTACAGCTCTGATACCATGTTGAAAACACACAAATCAAACTTTCCCAACGTCATCATTTCTTATACCATTTGAAGATTAAGAAAGAGATGGTTTTCAAGATACTTACATCTCAAAACTCACTACAAAGAACCTAATCTACCCTTAGTATTATTCACTTAACCTAATCTATTCAATAATAGAAAACAATCAATGAAGAGTTATGTAAATAGACAATGTATACAAACCTTAAACTAAACAGATGAACACCGAGAGAGAAGATGAAGAACACTTTGAGAGAAAACCCTAATCTTTTGATCTGAAAATGACTGAATGACTCCATTCTACATTCTCTCTGTTCCTTTATACTTCAGAAACCGGATACGAATCTTACATGAACGGAATCTGACCTAATCTCACAACCCGTGTGTCTTAAACCTGCAAATTACTTTCACAACCCAAGGCATATGTAAGTTTCGTATTGTCAAGTTTAGTTCTTGTATTTTTTTGGACCGTGGGTACCCTATAAATAGAGTAAGTACTTAGAGGATAGGGTAAGAACTTGTGTATCATCTTTGATCACTTGTACTCTTATTCTCTCTCTACTCTTCCGAATTTATTGAGTTGAAAACTAGATATTATTTAGATCTATATATTTTTACTTGCTTTTCGTAATCGATTGACTTAAATACATTACAAAACACTTTTCATAAACAATTAAGAGGTCGTTTCCCATAGTACCTCGAGGATTATGTCCATGCATGTGCCAGCAGATTTGTTTAAAATAAGGTCCATATAAGCAAAATAACCGGGTGAAAACTTTAATAATTACCAAAGTTATTGTAATAAAAAAAATAAAAAAGCTGAAATGTGAATGATTTCATGAGATTAAAAAATCAACAAATTATCAGGAAATTCAGGAAAATATAAAGATTTTTGTACAAATTCCCAATTATTAATTGCAAAGATGCAAAGATAATTTGATAACACCAATTTTACCCTTAAGGGTAATTTTTTTAAAAGTTTTTCAAGGAGTCTACGAAGGTTGTATCTCGCAAGTATGTTTAGGCAAATAGTAATAACAACAATTCACAACCAACTAAAACAGAACCACAAAACCATATAACTATAACAAGAAAAATTAAACAATAATAACGAAACATATACATTATAATTGAAACTTGGTTATTTAGTAATAAGCAAGAATTACAAAGATAGCACCTACAAACATTATTGGTACAGTTGAATCCTTAAGTCTTACTATCAAGACAATTTTTTATTGGGAGAACTATCTTTTATTGAATTTAAGTTGCCAACGTGGTAGGTTCACATCCATCATGCACACATGCTAATACATCTCTATAGTCTCTTGAAATTGTGAAATTATCATAAACCAAACCATCACTACTCTTCTTGTACTCAAATAGAAGCGAAGAATGGTTAAAAGCAGTAAGTTTCACAAATCCCCAATCTTGATCTTTATACAAACTCCAAAACGTATTTATCTCAGTAAAATCCGACAAATGGCTCCCTCCTCCACCAACAACAACATGAATCGTTCCATTCACTGTACCAGAATACTGCGATATCTCCGAGTTCACACATTGGTTCTATAAAATAAAAGTTAACAAGTCAACATGGCACTGTCTATCTCTATATATCTTACATGGTATTAGAATCAGATAGTAGTTAGTACCTGGTATATAGGACATGTCCTTTCATAATTATGGACATGCCCATACAACGCGATGTCCACTTTGTATTTTTGCCATAACTTTTGCAAATTCGCACGTCCCATGGGCTCTTCAAATGCACCCTCATTGGCTAACCAACTATTAGAAGAATAACCAAGAACACGATGAGCAGCAAAGATCAACCATGGTTGTTTTTGTCTGTCAACTGATGCAAGACATTTTTCTATCCATGCATATTGTTCTGAACCCTCCCTCCAATCATGCTCTGAATCCGCTATACAAAAGTGAAACATCCCATAATCTGTTGCATACCTGTAAACAACATACAATATGAACAAGAAAATCTTTTTTTTAATATATTATAGATTTAAATAAATATTTTTACCAGAATTTAGCTCTGTTATCTGCGGGAACATAGTACATGGACTCAGCAGGCACACCACACTCCCCGCCTGAATCAGGAGTGTCGTAAAAAGATCCAGAATTAGGAAAATCACGTTCATGGTTGCCACTGCGAAGGCAAAATTAATTAGAAACTAGAAATAAACATAATTTTTTTTAATATTTAAAAATACAAACCTCGCAATCATATATGGCTTTACAGATGAAATGGGTTCGACTTGTGATGTGAATTGATCCCATTGCGAGAGAAATCCATTGGCATATGGTAAATCTCCTATATGAAACACTATATCATAGTTGTCAAGGTCACTAACTAATTGGTCTGTAGTAATGAGTGATCCTGGCTGATAATTTGCATACTCATTTGACCCGTCACGTTCCGCCTAGAAACATGAATTTTATAAATTACTTATTATTATGTTTTATTATATGATTTTAACAAATTTCTTTTGATCAAATTCAATGGTACCTTTCCCATGTCTCCAAATATGATAACACGCTGAAGTGAATCCTGTCCTGGATATGGAGATGATTTGAATGTGTACATTTTACTATAAATGATTGATCCATTTGAAAGCATATGTCCCATTCTATATTCATACCTAGAAAAAGTAATAATGTGATTTGTGAATATCTTCTTTCGACAAAGGTAAAATAGTCATTTAATGTCGTTTATTCAGACGAGTTATTCAATCTTAGAATAAACAAACTTAATGTATATAACATTTTGTCCAAAACATCATTACTCATTCAGCTATCTTTCCTATATATACGACTTAATGGAAAAATAGTGTGTCTTTTTTCTATTGTATATTTATTCATTGAAAATGTGAGTAAAAGTGAGACACATACATGGTGTTTGGCCACAATTCCTTTAAGAAACTAGTGTGGATAAAACCAGGGTCACGCCATCCAACTGTACGTGCAGGTGGACCTACATGGAAGGTAAAAAATGTAAAATTTTTGGGTAATTTTAATTAAATTTTACCATCATTTACTATTATACCACACATGCTGCCACGTGTAAAAGTCAACGTCCCTGCTGGAGAAAGCTTTTTTATTTGGCCCTTCCATCCCCATTCAACAAGTGGAGTTGCTTCATCAATGTTATAACCACTGGTCCAAGTTACAGTCATCTATAGAAAATTAGAAAAAGAAAGTTTAGAAACCACACACCCAATATAGCAAAATATATAAAAATTAGAATTCAAAAAGGTTTAGAGTTTGTAAATGTACACCTCATCCCAAGCTTTTCCATGGGCAAGACGAGGGTATAAAGGAGCTTTAGGGTTTGCAAATGATATAGGATCAGAAACAGCAACCAATTTCGGCTATAATTCAGAAAACCCAATTATTGATTAGTCACATACATTGCAGAATTCAATAAATTAAGTGGAAACTGGAAAGAGGGACTAATTCACACAGTTTCTAATCCGCCTGTGAATAACGCAAACGCGAAATCTGCACGTTGATTGATGATCCGGAAGCTGAGAGTAGCTTTTCCTGTTTCAACATAATCGACAGTGGAGTGATTTGCGAACTTGTACTGTTACAATTTACAAAACATGTTATTAGCAGGAAGGTTCTTCATCATTCAAAGTAATGAATGGTGTTTTACCTTAATTGGAGCTGTGCATAAGTATGGAGTCTCCGGCCAGTTACCAGCTTCAGATGAACAATCTGATGAACTGTGTCAATATTCATTCAATTCTTCAGAAACATCATTCTCATGTAGAAGACGAAGCCATTAGGTATTACAGAAATTAATAAAGAAGATTACTTGAACTTCGCTGGTGAAAAAACTCCAACCCAATCGTCCTCAGATGCTTCAGCGTACTCAAGCTCTACGTTGACCCATTCAGCATCCTCGCCCTTTCGTAATATCAAGAAATTAAGTCATGGAATATGAATAGTTAATATAATTAATAGGAAGAAAACGACTTTTTACCTTGAATCCTAGTAGCAAAGGGTTAGAACGAATGGAAGCTGATTCATGGAGAGCGATAACAGTCTTGTGAATGGCGATTTTGGCGAGTGGTTGTTCATTAATGGGAGAATGAAGACGATGGTCATGGTCAACACCACTGCTTATGAGACGGGAGTAAGAGGAAGCATGAGAAACTCTGTAAACAAGAGCATTTGAAAACAAGAAGAAGAACACTATCGATAGATGAATCATTGTTGACATTTCGTCAAACAGTTATCATGCACACTCTTCGGAAGAGAAGGCATTCTTATGTATTTATAGGGAGTAATTTCAAGTACATATAAGATTAACAATATTTTCAGGGAAAACGTTAAAGATTCCATTGAAATTTTTGGGTAGGTGACTCTCGAGATATGCTTCATCGATCATCATACATGGATTTGGTTGCATTAGCAATTTGATATAAATATATATATAAAAAGGCAATTTGATATAAAAATAATTATTTGATATTTAAATAAATAATAATCAAATTGTATAGCCGCCACCTTTTCTTTTTTTTTTTTTTTTTTTTTTTTTTTTTTTTTGTATGTATAAAAGGTCAGTTTGAATTTATTCATTTGTTCATAATGCATACTTCAGCCTTTTTAATTTCATTATATTAAACAATCTTTCACACATTGGACCCTCAATAACAATTAAATTACAAGCTAAGTGCAGAGAAATGAAAGGGCCTGATGAAACACTAACCTCGTTAATTGTCAGTAATTTGTATCGTTACAAAAACAACTTTAACACAAGAAAGTGTGATGTCGTAAATGGTAAGGTTAAGACTATAACAAACACATAACATATATAAAGCTATAACATTATTTCAAGAGGTCGTTTTTAAACACCGAGGTAGGGGTGTCAAAAAAACCCGAACCCGATTCACCCGACCCAACTCGAACCCGAATAAGGTAATTAGGGTCGGGTGTAATAAGGTCAGAACTCTTAATCGGGTTATTCGGGTTAACCCGACTAACCCGAATTATTATTAGGGTCGGATTTATGGTTGGTTTTTTCAAAACAATTCGAGTTTCGTGTCAACCGAATAACCCGATTAAGAATTTATTACCAAAACTTTTTTACTGCGTTGAATGACATGAATTCAAGATCTCATGAGATTTTACAACTAATACATATTCCTAATTTAAACAAACCAGATATTAAAATTATTATGTATAGAGATGTATAAAATGATATAAATTTCCTCTCTTCTTAATGTAGTACGGTTGTGTTTTAACAGTTTTACAAATTTTATTCACTGTTTACACTAATATGCTAAAAGAAACTTCAAAAATCAGTATCGTATACCAACTTTACATTTTAAGTCCCTATACATGTGGATTATGTATTAAAATGGTACAACATAAGTTCATGTTACATTTCAACCTCTACCCGACTAACCCGATTAATCCGACCCTACTAACCCAAAATCCGATTAACCCGAATCCGACTAACCCGTACCTTATTAAGGTCGGGTTTTAGGTGAATATTTTTTCTAGAAAAACCCGACTAACCCGACCCGTTTAATCCGAAATCCGATCGGGTTAACCCGATTAACTGCCCTACACCGAGGTGATTTTGTTTCATGTTCAACTCATTATAATAACTTGACCATCGATCATATTAAGGTCTACCAATTTTAATATATCTAATAATTCATTAAAAAGTTCCAAACCACTTATTGGAGGATTCCGTCCCCTCGGGACAACCAGTAGCTTCGGTTGTTGAATCTCTAAAAATTCCAAAAAATATTCATCTTGTACTTTCAAAACAAAAAAGTCATCTTTAGCGGCGACAAATAAGGTCGCAATTGATTCCTAAAATCGTTACTAATACCTTTTGTGACGACGTGTCGTCGTTAAAGGATCGGCACTATTAACTGGTAGCTAATACTCAAAAGTCAGTCGCAATTAGTGGCGTCTCTAATAGATGTCGTCGCTAATAGTGTCGCATCTATTAATTTTCTAGCCACCAGTCGGAGTTTTTTCCATCAAAGCTTCTCGCAGGCAGGCACCGTCGCAATCAGTGCATGTTGTCGCAAAAGTTGTCGTCGCTAATTTTTTTTTTTTTAAAACAATTTATATATGAGATTAGTTTATATATTATAAAATGCAAATATTATAAAATATAGCAATCATAATCTACAAAACTACATTACATATAACATCAAATAACTTAAAACAATACATACCTCATTACATAAAACATCAAATATATTTACATAAACAATCTAATAAACAAGAAATACTAGTAAATCTCATCAGGAAATTATCTAATAAATTCAAAATAACATCATCTATAACATAAAAAAAAAAAAATACTAAGCATTTTCATCTTCCCCATTGTTGTTTTCCTCATCGTTGTTGCCCGCATTGTTAACTTGGGTCTTAAACAAGTGGATAATATCTCTAATTGTCGCTACAAACTCCGAGTTTTGAAGAAAATCGTTAACATCCACATCCTACAAAGTAAATATATAAGTTAAAATATCAAACTAAAAAAACAAATTATTATTACTTAACAATTAAGTCCCAAGCACATTATCTCATTAACAATTTAACAACTATCAAACCATTAATTGAATTAAGTATTTAAAAATTTAACAAACTATTAAACTACCAAATCAATTAAGTCTTTAACAGTTAACTACTAAACTACCAAATTTATAACAAATGATTAACCACTTAACAAATAAGCAAAGTATCAAACTACCAAAAATTACTATAAATGCATCAAGTTCTTAACAATATAGCAAAGCTACTAAATTCTTTAAAAGTTTAATAAGTATATGTGTTGGTTGTTGTGCTTGTGACTATGCTTATGACTATCATTGGGAGGGAGCACTTGTACCCACTGTAGATGGAGGTTTAGGCCCGATGCCTCTCACATGTCCCCTTTCAGCACCTAAAACCTTCTCAAATATTACTATCCAATCAATGGAGTTCGGATCACCACTGGAGTCGGTTATGTGCTGAGTTTGTAAACAACCTCACCAACTAAATCATTTTGTATTTCACAAAGATTGTCAATATACTTCAAAACTAACACAAAAAAATAACAATCTACTTCATTTTTAAGTACTAAAAACTTACATATTAGCCTTGTAAGATAATAGATTGTTTCATTTATAAATAATGACGTTAAACTTCATATAAATAAGGTTACATAAGTGTAACATCCCGACTCTCAGGTATAAGATTTATTGATTTAAAGATGAATTATTCTTTGGAACTCGACGAGTTGATGGACTCAGACTCGACATGTTGGAAGCTGTCTACTCGATGAGTTGTTTAGAAAAACTCGAGGAATTGACGGCTGTTTATGAAACCCTAATTTTTAGGGTTTTGCACCCTATTTAAAGTACTTATGACTCATTTGTGGCCTCCCTCATCGTCCCCCCAGTCCAGATAAAACCCTAATCATGCTTCTTTACCCATTTTGAGTGTGTGAGAGTGTTTAGAGTGTTCTTTGGTGGTTTTCTTGAAGGAGTTGAAGTTGGTGGTGCATAGCTGAAGAGAGGAGCTCTAGATCCGAGATTTTCAGTGTTGTTGCAGCTACTTGGAGATATAAAGTCGTTATCTAGATCATCATTTTATTAGATCTCTTCTTTTAAAAGTTTACGGCAATTATTAGCTTATTTTGGGTTAATCTTGGATTTGAGCATGTCATGAAGCTAAGACTTCAGATCTGGAAATCTCATGGCCTCCATAGACTTAAAGTTGCCAACTTTATCAAGTCTTGGCCCTCCTTCATGTCCTAAGTCCCTTGATAAGCCTTATTTGTGTGTTCTAGCCCCTTTAGTACCATGCATGGACATAAAGTTAGCAACTTTATGTGGTATCTTAGTCCTAGGGGACCAGATCTGTAGTTTGGAGCATTAGACTTGCTTGGAAGCGTCTGAATGCATAAAGGCTAGGAAGAAATTGACGAGTTGCTCTGTCGAATCGACGAGTTGGTGAGGGTTTTCCCGCTTTATGGATACTGAAGAACTCGATGAGTTGCTCTGCCAACTCGACGAGTTGGATCGAGTTTTCCCGTCTTCTGGATGATGAACGAACTCGGCAAGTTAATGAAATAACTCGGCGAGTTGGCTAGGGTTTCTCATAGTTTTCTGAACACTGAAGAAACTCGACGGGTTATTGGACACACTCAACAAGTTGGGTCAACATGGACTGTTAACCTTGACTATTGACTGTTGACTGTTGACTTTCACCATGGTTAACCAAGTTTGACATTGAGGGTATTTTTGGGAATTCGTGATTTTTGATGAAGTTAGTCACATGGTGATTGTAAGTGGTTGAGCTCGGAGCTGTGATTAGAGGGTTGGATCTTGTCAGTCAGCGCTACTTGTGAGGTGATTTTTCCACACTATACTAAGGGGTCGAAGGAACCAAGGTTGTCCCGTTGGATTGATATCCTAGTAGTTATTGATATGCGAGGTATGAGTTAGATATGCATGCTAGTTTGATATGCTAGTCTGGTGGATCTGTAGGACTACTTATGATATTGTCTAATTATCTGTATGAGTATTAATGTGTTACATGTCGATATGTTATGTGAGATGAGTTGAGGTAATATTGCTCCGTGCGGTAGCCAACAAACCCTGGAGTATTCCAGGTATGAGCTGAGGGTCGAGCAGGTCATGCCAGACTCATACTGAGGACTCCTGAGCATTCCAGATACGAAAAAGGGCTGGCAAGGCATGCCAGACTTGTACTATGGGCTAATCTTTTGTATTCCAGTCCAAGAACTGACGGCGCAATCCAGACATAAGTTGTGGGCCCAAGGGGTAAGCCAGAATTATGATGTGGGCTCGAGAGCAATCAAGACATGAGTTGTGGGCCTAAAGAGCAAGCCAGACTGATGTTATGGGCTCGCGAGCAAGCCAGACATGATTTGTGGGCCCATTATGCAAGTCAGACTCATCCTATTTGTCACACCCCCGAACCGGGATGGCGGAAACATCCGGGAGCGGGTGACTTCATATTTTAATATCATAACAATTGAATATGAATAAAACATAGCAATCACAATCATACATTAAGGATACTAGAATGTATTGTTTACAACATTAAATTTGTTCATGAAAATACATCCAAAATAACATATTGTATTATAATCCAAAAATACAACAAATATCCAATATCCATAGCTGAGAAAACCTACTCAATGCGTTCTTGAGAATACAAGTCATTTGAAAAGCATCAAAATATAAAATGTTGGTGAGGTCATAATCATGTTTATAGGAAAAACTTTGTAATTGTTTATAAACT